AATAATGAAGTTGTAACATTTTAATATACTGTACCTACACTACTGTTGCAACAATATCCTAAAAATATTAAATTAAATTATAAGATAAAGTAGGTACAGATTGTATTGAACTATTACAAAGTCGAAACTCTCATCACTAATACAAACACAGTAGTAAGTCCAAGTGTTGTGAATTTATGAAAAATACTGAAAAAAGCTACAAGAGTCGGCGTAGAAGCCGACTAGAATATTAAGTCTTGTCAAACACATCCATCATTGGGAATTTCTATGACTTTCCATGACTTTTTGCCTATTTGCTATTTCCATGACTTTCAATGACCAGAATTTTTTTCCATGATTTTCCCTGACTATCCCTGACTTTCCAGAATGTGGACACCCTGTAAAGGATTGTAACAGTTCTGCTTTGATAACTGACATTCAGTACAGTCTCAACTACAAATACTGCATACAGTTAAATTTATGAATACAGTCCAACCTCAGTATAACGAATCTGAAGGGACTGAACTGAATATTCGTTATATCAAGGATTTCGTTAAAACGAGGTTTGTTATATAGAGGTTAGGTTTGCAGGAATTTCGCTAAGTCGAGGTTCAGAACCAGCGTCGGTCAATATAGGTCGTGATTTGACCTCATTAAAATACAATTAAAGTAGCATAGGCTACAATACTTTACAGTACAGTGTTTACATTGTACAGTAGAACCTAAATTATCCGGCATAATAAAGGGGAGGGATCTTGAATATTGCGCAATCATGACAATGGCATTGACCTTGGTACAGGTTAAAAGATGTAAGTTTAAAATCACAGCTTGTTCTAACCCTCCTAAAACCTAGCCAAACATTGTATTGCGTAGTCATAAACCATGTAAAGAACAATAAAACAAAACAGTAGAAAGTTTTGTAAGCTACTGCTCGCGATAGGCCGGTAGGCTAATTACAGTACGGTACTGATTTATCACAACAGAGGAATGTCAATAATAATCATTAACTATAGCATTGGTGTTGCTAGTTGAAACAAATCGTATTGAAAACAATAAATTATTAGATAAGTCATTATACAAGTGTATAATCATAGCCAACTTAAGGATAGTAAAAACACTCACAAAAGGAATGTTAAAATAACGATGTTGCTATTCTTTCTCTTCGGTTTTGTTTTTATATTCTTTCTTAGGTTTCTCTTTATCCAAAAATTGTACAATTCACCATAGTTATCCCATATCGCCCAATCACAGCTTACTAAACACTACGTCGTCATCAGTCCTCAGTGAACGAAATCAGTTCTCAGTTGCAACATAGCGCGCGCAGCGACAGCAGACAAAGATGTAAAACGGAGCAGACGAATGTTAGCGCAAGCGATGACGTGACCTTTCCATTTAGGGGGAGCGAGCTGGCCTAGTGGCTAGAGCGCGGGACTTCGGTCCGTGAGGTCCCGGGTTCGATCCCCGCCAAGTCACCAATGGATTTTATCTAAGTGATAATGCCGCAACCCCTAGGTCTAGCCTGAAGTAATGTGAAAAACAATCCCAGGCTCGTGCCTAGCGTCCTAGGACAAAAAAAAAAAAAAAAAAACCTTTCCATTTAATTTGATAAAGAAACAGATTTTCCCAAAACAATAATTGGGTGGGGGATTTGTTATATCGAGGGAAAGACGTAGACAATTCGTTATGCAGAGGTTAAATTCGCAATGTAGAGGTTCTAAATTCGTTATATTGAGGTGTCTTATTTTAGCCGAAATCACAAAAAATTCGTTAAATCAAGGTCGTTGTTATGGTTTGTTCGTTATGTAGAGGTAAAATATACATTGTGTCTTATGGAGAGTTCTAGGGGATTAAAAAAAAATCGTTATATCAAGGAATTTGTTATATCGAGGTTCGTTATATCAAGGTTAGACTGTATTTGCTATGAGTAGTGACTTATTAGGTAATTTCACTGATTATTGCCTCTAGATTTTTTTGTATTTGCAATAGAAAATATGAAAATAAATATTTAGTTTTTTAATAAAAAACAATACTCCGCCACAACAAAACTGAGCAAAATTCCATTAGTCTGATTAGACTTTTACAAAAATATTTCTTTAAACTTGTCAGATTTATTCCCTATCTAAATAACATTAAATTTTACCTAGGTTAGCTGTTATAGGGAAGAAAAGTGTATTTTTGGTAAAATGTTAATAGTAGGTCTATAGTATAAAATTTAAAAAAATTGCCAAATTTGATCAAAATATATCCATTACAAGCAAAGTACAAGTTTATTGGGAATTTTCTATGTAACCTTTGATCCTAATAAAAAAAATATTTATTTTTTTAGCTTTAGGCTACATATTCTAAAGATTAAAACTTGTAAAAAAAACCATTTAGAGGTAATGTACCACTACAACAGGCTACGCATTGTTGATAACTAGGTGGCGTTCGCAGAGGCATCCACAAAATTGAGCGGAGTCATCAAGGGTTTATATTATATTGTTTTGGTCATACTGCAGTAATACCAGTCGTTTTTAATGCATGCGTTGCGGGTCTAAAGTAGCATTTTTACTCTTTAGGAAGTAAAAATTGTTTCTATCCTCTATGGAGTAAAAATCTGCTGTTCTCAACTCAGTTGTAAATTTCGATTGTAAACGATTGCATGTATCGAAAATATGTATCGATTCGTGCATCGTAATAATTTTAACCTACAGTCTACAGTCTACAGTATACAGTCTCTTCCCATAGCATTTTAGCATTGCAGATACATTAATCCATTCCCACACTCAACACTGCTCACCTTTACTACTTCCTTCACCACTTCCTACGTCGCGGACCTGTTTCCCTAGCTTCCCATAGCATCATAGGATTGCAAATACCTTAATCTAACGGTCATAATCAGTTCCTACACTCCGGACTGCTCACCTTTACTACTTCCATCACCACTTCCTACGCCACGGACCTGTTTCCCTCCCTTTCCATAGCATTTTATGATTGCAGATACCTTAATCTAATAGTCAAACACAGTTCCCACACTCCGGACAGCTCGCCTTGACTACTTACTTCATCACTTCCTACGTCGCGGACCCGTTTTCCTCCCTTCCCATAGCATTTTATGTTTGTTGATACCTTAATCTAATGGCCATGAACAGTTCCCACACTCCAGACTGCTCGCATTTACTACTTCCTACGTCACGGACCTGTTTACCTCCCTTCCCATAGCATTTAAGGATTGCAGATTCCTTTATCTAATCGTCATAAACAGTTCCCACACTCCGGACAGCTAGCCTTGACTACTTCCTTCATCATTCCTACGTCGCGGACCCGTTTTCCTCCCTTCCCATAGCATTTATGTTTGTTGATGCCTTAATATAATAGTCATGAACAGTTCCCACACTCCAGACTGCTCGCCTTTCCTACTTCCTTCACCACTTCCTACGTCGCGGACCCGTTTTCTTCCCTTCCCATAGCATTTTATGATTGCAGATACCTTATTCTAATTGTCATAAACAGTTCCCACATTCCGGACTGCTCGCCTGTACTTCCTTCACCACTTCCTAAGTCGCGGACCTGTTTCCCTCCTTTCCTATAGCATCATAGGATTGCAAATACCTTAGTCTAATGGTCATAAACAGTTCCTACACTCCGGACTGCTCGCATTTACTACTTCATTCACCACTTCCTACTTCACGGACCTGTTAACCTTCCTTTCCATAGCATTTTATGATTGCAGATACATTAATCTAATCGTCATAAACAGTACCCACACTCCGGACTGCTCGCCTTTACTACTTCCTTCACCACTTCCTACGTCACGGACCTGTTTTCCTCCCTTCCCATAGCATCATAGAATTGCAAATACCTTAATATAATGCTCATAAGCAGATCCCACACTCCGGACAGCTCGCCTTGACTACTTCCTTCCTCACTTCCTACGTCGCGGACCCGTTTTCCTCCCTTCCCTTATAATTTTTGGAATGCAGATACCTAAATCTAATCGCCATAAACAGTTTCCACACTCCAGACTGCTCACCTTTAGTACTTCCTTTAGCACTTCCTACGTCACGGACCTCAAGCTAGTGTCGTCATTTGATTATATTTATGATTCATACCATTTCTGTTCTAATATCTGTGGAATAATGCTATCAGCTATTTCTTTATCTACTGCATTCAAAAGTCAACAGCTGATCATATGTCTTTGTTTATGTGTCAAATGCTGCTTCCATAAGGATTACATTGAAACTTTGAGACCAGTGGGGCGGATTCCTGAGAGTTATTTTTAACGCCATATAGATGTTGGCACTCACCGATATGGTCTTTATCACCATCCAAAATTTTAAAACGATTGATTCAGCCGTCTAGGAGGAGTTTGCGTATTACGAAATGCATAAAAGTCAACGTATAAGAGCTTCGCTCGCTTCGCTCGCTCCGCTCAATTAAACAACATAAAGTGCTAATAATTCATGATTGTTCGCTCAAAAATGTTTAAACTAACTTTTAGACCCAAACAGAATATTTGACAAACAGATTTACGCGCATAGTAATTTTGGGATATATTTTAATTACATACACATAACACGTTTCCTGAAAATGCAAATCCTTTAATGTAGGAAAAAATTAAATTTATAATGACTGTAAGAAAGATTAAGTTCACCTGAGATAGCAGGAACATCCATGATCATGCAGTTGTGATTTTTTACTGGACACAACAGCCATCAAAACGCTGTTAATGAATGGAAGTGTCGATTGTAGGATGTTGGCAACAAGTACTGAACAATTTATAAGTTTCCTAATCCAACACAAAACCAATTCACAACCCAGTGAAGAAAATAATTCAAAACTTTTTTAGACATTTGATCAAATAAAGTTTTTGACCTCTGGACAAAAAATGAAACAGTAAATAGATACAGAGTCTAGGTCTTGCCGTACCACCTAGAATAATAGCTTCTTTTCTATAAATTAACTAAAACTTAGTAAATCTATACTTATAAGTGGTATTTACTGAATGAATAAACGTGTTTTCTACAGTGAATATGTGTTACCTGGAGGTTTCTTTGATTCATCTCCACTACCATCTTCACTGCCAGAGCCGATTTTAACCCTCTTTCTGGACTTGACAACATCAGAGTCTGAACCGCTGTCACTAAGAACTGCTTTTTTCCTCTTTACAACCCTATATTTGGAAGGAAATATTTGTAGAACTTGACAATAGGTTTGTTTACATCAATGTGTTACAGTAGTGTTCATCTACCCCTAAAGTGAAAGTGTGCACATTTTGTTGTCAGACCAAAAAGTTTAAGGTAAGTAAATATGGCTGAAGTGCAGGAGGAGTTTTTAGGTGGTTGGGCACCTGACAGGCAATTTTAGGGGTGAGTGAAAGTATAAGAATTTAAAATGTGTTGGAAATGTTTAACCATTGACTATTGTTTAACTTAGTATCCTTTGAATTATGTTTGAACAACACTTTGGGAAAAGCATATGTTATTAGTTTTCAATTTACATATGTCTGAATAGGTAATGATATAATTGTATTTTTAGAAATATAATAAACAAAATGTAACTTTTAAAACTGGTTTAATTAATTTTACAAGAAATCAGTTTAATTTCAGAGTTTTGTTACATTTAATGGCTATCCCGAGCCAAGATAATTTTGATTTATTATTTTGAAGTAAACATTCATCATTGTACAGGTAATATACTTTTGATTTATTTTTAAAATGACTGAACTTCAAAGAAGAGCTTACAGATCAGTCTTTACTAAAGAGGTAAATGCTATTGAAAACCTATTGAGCCAAAATGAACATTTAAGAACTATTGTTGCCAGGTTTAAGTATTAAATACAACTTATGAAAAGCTTTGCTCTTTAAATGATGTAGTTTTGCAAAGTCTAATTGCAAAGTCTAAAAAGCAAGAGGAGGTAACAGAAGATAACATTGAGTCAGAAATTACAGGGACTAATGAGTATGCAACTAAATACCATCAATTAAGCTTGAAAATTCAAGAACTGCAGTTAGTTGCTTACTCTGGTAGTGAATCAAATAAAACCTGTTCCAATAAAAGGCGCCTTCCAAAAATAGAACTTAAAAGATTTGATGGTGAACTTAAAAATTGGATAGGATTCTGGTCTCAGTTCAGTAAAATCCATTATGATAATAGTTTAGGAGATGAGGATAAGTTTGATTACTTACTACAATCTGTGATGCCAGGCTCCTCAGCTCAAAAACTAATTGAAGGTTTTCCTCCGTCAAAAGAAAACTATTTGAAAGCAGTTGAGCTCCTTAAATCTAGGTATGGAAAAGAAGAATTTCTTATTGAATACAATGTCAGGGAACTTTTAGCTTTAGTTTTAAATAAGACTGATAACTTGTCAATCACATGCCTTTATGACAGGCTTGAAGTGCAACTAAGAGCTCTCGAATCATTGGGAGTAACCAAAGAGAAATATGCTGCCATGCTATTCCCTCTTGTTGAAACAGCCATACCTGAACCAATTTTTAAAATATGGGAAAGGTATCGTGTTAATAAGAATGCATCCACAAAAGAGCCAGATAACTGTTTGAAAGAACTCCTTCAGTTTCTAAGAACCGAAGTTGAAGCTGAGGAGAGGCTTAAGTTGCGTGAAAACTGTTTTGGCGTGAAGTCTCACGAGGTGGATCTTTATAAAGACTCAACCAAAACCCAGCGGTTTGGTAAACCTAAGGCAAGCACACCTTCAGCAGCAATACTTGTTTCTAAATCTGAAAATAGTGCAAAGGTAGGTACAGATTTAAATACCAACTTAAGAAGAAATCTTTGCATATTTTGTGGAAAAACAAACCATAACTCGCCTGATTGTTTTTCTATCTTTGATCACACAGTATCAGAAAGAAATGAACTTGTAAAGAAAAAGGGTGTATGTATAAAGTGTTTGAAAAAGGGGCACTGGGCTCAGAAGTGTAAATTACAAGTGAAATGTCACATCTGCTTGGGTGGACACTTTGCAATCTTGTGTCCAAAAGTCCATGCGACTAATGAAACTGAGCCGAGTGCTAAGGAAAAGCCTATAATCCCTGTTAAAAATACAACAAATACGATTTCTACTGTAAACAATAAAAGCAAAACTTAACTACTTACTTACACACTTTGAATGCTTTTATTGATTGTAATGGGAAATCAAAAAAGGTTAGAATCTTGTGCAACTCAGATTCACAAAAGAGTTTTGTTTCTAGCCAAAGTGTATCAGAATTAGGCCTCAAAAGCAATGATAGAGTTTTAATTCAACAAGAAGTTTTTGGAGGCAAGCAAACTAGTCCTAAATACCATAAAACTTATGGCATCACTTTGAGTTCACTAAACTTGGATTTTAAAACAGATTTACAAGTTATAGAACAGCAAGTTATTTGTAACCGGATTCCCAAGTTTTGTGACTACAGTTTGATAAAACGTTTGGAGCAAGATAACATCATTTTGAGCGATGTATCGACCTCTGACAAAGAAGACTCTGCTAGTATTGATGTGTTATTGGGTGCTGATGTTTGGACACAAATTATCACTTCGGAGTTTCACAAAGTAAATGAACAACTTGTGGCCATAAAAACACGATTGGGCTGGACGATTGTTGGTTCATCTGAATCGTCTAGTAGAGATTCATATTTTGTCTCATCTATGTTTATTGCTTTACAGTCTTCACAGAATGTTAAGCAGTTTTGGGAGCTTGAGACGATGGGAATCACGGACCCAAGTGTGAAACTGGAGAAGGGAGAAAAGGACGAGCAAGTGTTAAAGTTCTTTGAGGAGACAGTGACAAGAGACTCGACTGGCCGCTACATCGTACAACTTCCTTGGGTTGAAGGAGTAAGACAAATATTTCAAAAGGAATACTTGGGTTCTCTAAATTCCTCTAAAAAGAACGTAAACAAAACTTGTGAAATCAATGTGGGAGACATTGTACTCGTCCATTCAGAAAATAAACGAAGAGTTACTTGGCCTCTTGGAAAAATTATCAAAATATTTCCTGGGAAAGACAAAGTAACAAGACTTGTCAAAGTAAGAACGAAAAATGGAATTTATTTACGACCTGTTCAACGGCTTTATCCACTTGAAGTTCAATCTAAGGATGAGCACATTCATAAAACTCAAAATTATCAACCTGAACCTGAAACTTATAATATACGACAAAAGGAAAAGATGAGACAACTGTGAAGACTAATGACACACAAGTTCTGACCCAAAGTGGGAGAAGAATAAAAAAGCCAACCAAATTGGACTTGTGAAAGAATTTGAAGATTTTTTTTTTTAAAGGGGGGAGAATGTTGGAAAAGTTTAACCATTGACTATTGTTTAACTTAGTATCCTTTGAATTATGTTTGAACAACACTTTGGGAAAAGCATATGTTATTAGTTTTCAATTTACATATGTCTGAATAATGATATAATTGTGTTTTAAGATATATAATAAACAAAATGTAACTTTTAAAAGTGGTTTAATTAATTTTAGAAGAAATCAGTTTAATTTCAGAGTTTTGTTACAGTATGTTTGTTCAGAACCTGCCACACTCTGAAACAAATTAAATTTCACACCAATTCTGAGTAGCCTATCTTTTACAATGACACTAACTGAAAATTAACTCATTGTCATATTAATGGTAATCAGTAACAACTTTTAGCTGCCTTTATATTTGCAATACTCAGTTAATGTGTTTAAGATTATGGAAATTCTTGTTACTTACATTACTCAAACAAAGGGGAATATTGAACCGCCACGAGTTTTATGACCGTCCAGAGATACTTGAACTGCCACGATCATTAGTGCGGATTATAAGGGTCAGTTTCGTAGGGTTGTAAAACAATTGAACCGCCACGCAGGTTCTGCCAGGTAGCGAGGGAACTTTTTGAAATATTTATCCCTCCATTATCCCACTTAGATATAGGATGGAATAAGAGTTAAGATATAAGGAACAATAATAATTCTAGCAACAAACCGTAGTTATTAGTACAGGCGATCATAGTACAATAACTCTAGTACAGTTATCATAGTTTATTATATTTAAGTGTAGCCAACCTATTTCCAAGCGTACCCAGATTACGTGCATAATAAAACCACGCTTTTTTGTGTTGTTTGGCTTGAATCCCGATGTGCGCCAAATCATGAATCGTACGACAAAGTATAAATCGTGTGACAAAGTAAGTAAATGCAGCAATTACCAGCTTTCTGTACTATAAACAGTGCAAGGAAGCCAAATTTGCTGGGTGACTGTAGGAAAAATCTGTTTCACCCTAATCAACTATACGTCAAATATATCACAAACTTTGAACCTTCGGGTTGCCGGAAGTTTACCCCCTTTACATATTTCGAAGATTTCAGAGAAATAGCGATGTACGGCCTGGAATTTCAACCCCCCATCAAGAAAAATTATTTGTGTAGCTTGGTTGGAGTTTTACCTCCTGTACAAATTATTTAAGTGTTCACAAAAATGTCGATGTACGGGCTGGAATTTCAGGCCCAACATGAGGCTAACACAAAGACCTGAATTAACGTACAAACGAATTCGGTCAAATTAATTGAGTTCTAGAATGTATAATGACAGCACATTCTGTAATGGATTCAAATTAACCTGGTTTTATATCAGAGCTTCTTAGCCGATATGGTGACAGTTCACTTAAAAAACAACGGGCAATATAAATATTGGTACTATTTAATATTCTGTTGGGCAGTTTTACAAAATTGAAAAATTCTAAATAAGAGTTAATAGCTTATTTGTAATCTGTAATGAATGTAATAAATTTTCGATTGAAAGTGTGCCTATTATGTGATAAAGAAGGCAATGATGGATCGCCAAACACCAATAAAAAATCCGTAGCTGTCTCAACCTATATAGGCTCTGAACCTGGTATTCAAAAGCGCAGGAGAATAGTTTTATAAATATACTTTTGTAGAAACGGTGGAAAAATCATACGGTTTATATATTTCTAATTATATTTTTATGTTTTTGTTAACGATGTTGAACATTTTCGCTTAAAATCGCACAAACTAGCATTAATTAATCAAAACGTTAATATTAAATTTCTGAATTTTCAAATTAGCTATGTAGCAAAATACGAATTTTCTTAACGTAGTGGCTGTCACCAATCACGGTTTTAGGGCTATAAGTCCCTAATTCCAAAATTAGTCAAAATCCTTCCGCTGGATTTCGA